AAAGTGTAAACGGTGGGATCATAAGTTGGCCCCCTTTGGTGTCGGTTTGTGAGTGATTTTGGACTTTTGCAATTTTAGCTGACTACCACTTAATAATCTAGTAATTACACTCTTCTTTTCTTTAGACTAAAATTTCTATGGTTGTTGCCATAAAGTCATTGTCAGTGTGTCTCAAGCCGAGTCCTTAACAGTATATTCCATTCTCAATATCAGTATTCACTAGTCACCAGCGGGTTTGATAGCTGAGATTTTTTTATTTTTTTTAGGAATCACGATTTCAAGAAATATAATTGAAAAATAAATTTTTTAAAAATATTATCAAAAAGTTATTTGATAGGCTAATATATTTTAAGAAATATGGAGTTAATTTTCTTAATAGGATTTATCATCTATCATTTAACATGACCACAAAAAGTTTTCTACACACATAACATTTTGTAGGGCCCGCAGCAAAAAAAATAAATTTCGACACGCAAAACAAATCTCTATAACATAACACAATAACTTTTCCTACAACATAACTCTTATAAAATCCATAATATTGATATTATGTTTGATTGTATCAAAAAATTTCTTGTCATAAAAATTCTAGCATACCACCCTGTAGGTGGTATTTTAAAAAAAAAAACTTACACACAAAATAAAATTTTGAGAAAATTAGATTTTCAAATTTTTAAAAAAAATCTCATATCAAATGTAAATAAATAAGATTACCACCTTCAGTTTTCTCAAAATCTTAAAAAATCTTTTTGTACCAAATGGCCCTAAGGACAAGAGAATTTATATATTGTGGTATGAGACCACCATTTTTTAGGTGGTCTCTTAGAGTAAATGGAAGGGTAAAATTAGAAAAGAAGAAAAATAACAGAGGTAAAATAAGAAAGAAAAAATTAATGTTGTGAGAGAGAGCACCAAATCATTAAGTGGTCCTGAAGTATATTAAATATTTTCCCTAAGGACATATGTCAGATTTGACATAAATCACACTATAAAACTTAAATGACTAATTACAGCTAGTGGTTCATCGACCAATGAACTCAATAAAACCGAAAGAAACCATTCAAGAAAATGAGAACATCTTTAATACTAACGTCTTGATACGATTTCGATTCAAAATAAAATTGCAAAATATATATTTTGAAGAATATATATGTAAATTTTTTTTCTCTCTTTTCAAGAAATATGACAGTATGTACAAGTATTGTATTTTTATTCAGCAAGATATAGGCACGTCAGACGTCACTAGTATATTATAAATTTGGCAAGAAAATCAATCCATATTGGTTCATGTCTCGGGTTCAATGATTTACAACCCGTGGCTCCATATATGAGGTGATTAACTGTATTGTCAATTTGTTAAGAATCTTGAGGTCACCATTTCAAAAGCTAGCTCAAAGGGTGAAAGTTCTCAGAGCCTTATAAACTCCACATTAGTTGCACATACAACCAATGTGGGACTATATATCTCAACACGCCCCCTCACACGAGAGTCCACTGGGCTTGAAGAGAGGATGATACAACAGGCCTAGTCTACCTGTGCTAAGAAATTCCATAAGAGAAAGTGGGGGACGGTTGGGCTTGAAGAGTGGATGATACAACAGGCCCAGTCTACCTGTGCTAAGAAATTCCACAAGAGAAAGTGGGGAACGGCGAGGCTCTGATACCATGTTAAGAACCTTGAGGTCACCACCCCAAAAGCTAGCTCAAAGGGTGGGAGTGCCCAAGGCCTTATAAACTCCACATTAGTTGCACATATAACCAATGTGAGACTATATATCTCAACACAGTTTGTCATATTTACAAATATAAAATACTTAAATGCCACACATTCAGAATTTTTTTTTCAAACTGTCAGGGTAGCAAAATGACTTCATGATATAGCGACTAAAACAGGACATTGACCATTGTGCCACTCCTTTAATGAAAATTTACCTTATTGCCACGTCTGGAAATTTTTTTGCCAAAATGCCACGTCACAATCCCGCTGGTCTGACAAGCGGGATTGGACTGGACACGTGTCAGCGTCTGAATGGTTAACCATTCTCGCTGGGCTGCCCAGCTAGAATGACAGAATGCTGACACGTGACAAAAGTTCAGACATCCAGAGAATGCCTGTACTTTTGCCACGTGTCAGCATTCTGTCATTCTAGCTGGGCAGCCCAGCGAGAATGGTTAACCATTCAGACGCTGACACGTGTCCAGTCCAATCCCGCTTGTCAGACCAGCGAAATTGTGACGTGGCATTTTGGCAAAAAAAAATTCAGGCGTGGCAATCAGGTAAAATTTTGCGCAAAAATTGACAATATGGTCATTGTCCCGACTAAAACCAAAACACGTAGCACATTTTTATTGTTATTTTTTTTCTAACCAAAGTAGCGCCATAATGTAGCTATTTTGGTTTTTAAAAGAATAAATAAAATATTAAAATATTATTTATCCTAATAATAAAATATTTCTATTAGTGGAGAGATAAAACCATAGGTTAGTTGATATGTATTATTTTTTTTATACGAATTAGTTAGGTAAATTACATGATAACTAATATTTTCATTTTATATTTAAAATTTAAAATATAAATGGAGTTTTAACATTAGTTTGGATATTATTTTTGCATATATTATACGCAAACTATTTATGCAAAATAAAATATATGCAAATTTAATATTCAAATTAATGTTAAATTTCCATTTATAATTTTAATTTTAAATATAATACATGTCAACTAAACTATATAAAACAAAGTCGCTACTTGATGTATCGATTTGTCAGAAACCAACCCAAAGTCACGATATAGTTTAGCGACTTTGGTTGGCCAGCTTCTCAGATTTTGCTGACCACTGAAAATGTTTCACTTGGTGCCGTGACAGTTTGAAAAAAAAATTATGAATGTGTGGTATTCAGGTATTTTATATTTGTATATGTGGCAGTACAGTCAATCTCCCCCATATCTCAAGATTACCGGTCAGACATAATGTAGTTTGTAAAAAAAAATTGTCAATATAATCCTATTTTATATATATACATGTGTGTGTATAGGTGGCAAAAAAATTATATTATTATTTTAATAAAAAATTACTAAAATATAGTTGTTATGAAACACAAAGTCGCGCCTTAGCCAGGCGCGACTTTGCACCATTCTCGCGGTGACGCGTGGCACAAAAAATCAATATTTTGATCGTAAAACATCGGAAGGCAATAACTTTTGACTCGGGTGTTCGAATAAGGTGATTTTTTTTATTCCACATAATTTTTCGAGATCTACGCAATGACATTTCATTGAAGGGGATTCGGACAAAAAAAATTCCAATTTTTTTTTTAAATTTAAGATATTTTACCGTAAAACTTTAGAATGCAATAACTTTTCGAGAGCTACGCATGAAAAATACCCGTAGGGGATTTGATCAAATAAATTTCCCAATTTTTTTTCTTGTGCCCTGTTTGGTATATTTAATCTGTGTAAATGATATTATTTAAATCTTTACTTTCTAACAATAACATAATATAATATAATGTGGTCCCATTTTTTGGGAAATTTATATGACCAAATCCCCTTTCAAATTTGCTACGCATAGCTCTCAAAAATTTATGTGGAATAAAAAAAGCATATGATTAGGACATCTGAGTCAAAAGTTATGGCATTTCGAAGTTTTACGGTAAAATATCTTAAATTCGAAAAAAATTTGGAAATTTTATTGTCCGAATCCCCTTCAATGATTTGTCATTGCGTAGATCTCAAAAAATTATGTAGAATCAAAAACAATATCACCTAATTCAGACATCAAAGTCAGAAGTTACGGCCTTCCGAAGTTTAACGGTCAAAATATTGAATTTTTGTGCCACGTGTCACTGTGTGAATGATGCACAGTCGCGCCTATAGGGGACTGACCGATCGCGCTTGTAGGGGGCCGACCGATCGCGCCTGTGTGGGGCGTGATTTTGCACATGTTCTGCCTGTGTAGAGCGCATCCTTGCACACAAGTCACACCTACCTGAGACGCGATTGACTGTGATAAATTCTTCAATTAATTTCAAACTGATATGTTTTCATAATTTTTTATTTAAATAACAATATATTAATTTTTTTTGGCCACATGTAGCTGGGAAAAGTTTTACTTCCTGAACTGCTTTTCTTCCTTTTCCCTTTTACTTGTTTTTGACTCTCCTTTTTTTATTTCCCTTGTGTTTCAACCCTACTTGTTCAGTGTGCCTTGTTGACCATAAATCCATAATATGCATTGGAAGGAGTAAATTATAATTTATTTATTTATTTGCTTAGGGTTATTATTATTGAAAGGCCATCATTCCAGGTATTATTATTATTTCTGTTTGCTCATGAATCATGACCAATTTCATTGGCATCTGAGTTATGCTTTTCAAACTTGGTATATTTTTGGTACACACAAGAAGAGATTGACACATCACCTGTGTACGTATATTTGTCTCAATGGTTTTGGCCTCTTCCTTGGAGACTTTGTGAAGTCGCCTGCCTAATGTGGACAGAACATGAATAGCTAATCAATTCAATATTTGTGGCTTTTACATTAATTGCAATTATATATATATATCTTCCTTACATGGCTTCAAAAACACACTTCACCACTTGTCTTCCGAGTTGAGCTATATATCATCCTACAGCAAGTAAAGGTGTGTAAGATTTTAGCATATCCTAAAGAATTTTTGCAGTACTTGTACATGTACTTCTTATGCATTAACTCTGTTAGTTATGGAGCTTCATGTGAAATTTTAAGTGGTAAGAGTGTTAACTACAATCTTTAAATATGATGAACATATCTGAATCTGATGTTAGGGGGTCACCTCATCTTTTCTCCTCCACATTGCAAGTGAGAGATTGTACGTATTAGTTGAATCTAAACTTGATTCAACGTTGTTAAGTATAAACTGATGGTAAATATATATAACATAAACAATTGCAGTACATTATTTTAATGTCTTCTTACATTGGATTTTTGTGCCAGTTCTTGTAGGTTAGACAAATTACCATGAACAAAGAAATGAGCCTTCCTGGGTCATCAATACCATCCGCAACCTATAGTATTGTTGCAAAAGATACACCCCCAAAGAAAGGATGGCGAATGATTCTAGGACGTGCAGTAGATTGGTTGGCATATAAAGATAAGAGCGAATGGTTGAACAATATGAGAGGGAACATAAGTATGGCGGCTTCCATAATCGCAACTATGACATTTCAACTTGCTACTAACCCACCAGGTGGCGTGGTGCAGGTAAGTCAGTATGTAGATGTCGTAGAAGTTTGTCGTAATATTTCCTCAAATCCGGCACCAATTCCATGCCCTGGGGAATCTGTCTTAGCTGCTATTTATCCAGAACAGTATGTCAGGTTCTTGGCAAGCAATACCATATGTTTCGTTGCATCTTTGAGTGTTTGTCTATTGCTTGTAAGTGGACTCCCTCTAAGTCATCGATTTCCCACTTGGCTCTTATTAATAGGTATGTGCATCACTGTCACAAGCCTCGCTCTTACCTACTTGTATGGCATAATATTGGTCACCCCAACAATTGCTCCCGTTTGGGATACAGCTAAAAAAATGTTTGAAAAGGTTCTCTGGACTTGGATTGGCTTGTTAGTAATCGTCAGTTTTCTCCACATGATACGCCTATTTGTTTGGTGCGCGGAGAAATGCATCAAGAAACGTAATCGCCAGCAAAAATGACAGTTTAGTCGATCGTGCATGCGTCGAACTTCCTTGTGGTTTGCAATAATCATATCTAAGTAAACTTGTCTTTCAGTATGTCATAATATTTTTTTAACAATATCAATATTTTGTGTTTTTAATGAACTTTGTACTTTGTCTAAGGATTTTCTTGCTTATCTTTGGTCGATTAAATGAATGCAGCTTCCTATAATTGTTTGAGATTTAATGTTGCTCTCCAGTAGTCATATGTTGGAGACTATATATATATGTAGTAGTTGGTTGGTTGAAAGACTGTTGTTATTCATGTACAATATATAATGGAAGAGTTGTGCTTCTGTACTTTAATTTGTCTAAGGTTCTCCATGTATACTTTATCTTTTGTGGAATAATTAGCTTGATTCACCTAAAATACTCGTATCAATTATAGCATTCGATTAATACTTTATTATTTGTAAAGTACAAGTATATATACAACCAAGAGTGGTTTATCTTTTGAGGAATAATTAGCTTGATTCACCAAAAATACTTGCATTCGATTATTTATTAATAATCTATTATCTTATTTCCGAACAGTTTACTCTTACTTAAAATCTCTCAGCTACATGTAACCCCATTTATAAATAACATAGGCTTGCGCAAGCGAACTGATATGTAGCAGCACAATAAGCCTCCATATTGGGCTCCCGGTTCGGCCCAAAGTCTACCACAAATAAGGTATCCTCTATAAAAAGGGAGGTTTCACCTCACAAGTACATAAATGATAAACTCTAGCCTCTTTTTATCATTGTACACTGGTTGAAGATTTCTTAAAATTTACCTATGCAAATTAAATTGGCAAAATAAAAAAACAATGTTTGATAGAAGGTTTTATAAAATTTTCCTGGGCGTTTGATACAGGAGAAATTTTTTTTTTGTCCGAGAATTTCGATTTTCAAAAATATGATTTTTACATTTACATTTAGTTTACGATAATATCTGAAAATTTAAAATTTACAAAAAATTATTTTCCCAGGAATCCTAAGATAAGTCATGTACCAAACGGCCCCTGAGTGTTGTATTTGCATAGCATTCCTTATTTGTTCATAGAAAGCAAGGTAAAGTTACTATTTAGAAAGACTAATTGAAGGTGATATTTTATATTTAGCTAGCTAAATGACAAAAGAGCAACCCACTAGTAGACTTAAAAACCCTCATCTAAAGTGCCAAGGTTTCACTTTTTTTATGAGGTTATATTTATAATTTGAAGTTATTTCTCCATCTATATTTCACCTCAAATCAAACATAGACTTTATAAATCTTACTTAATTTTCCCGTTAAATTTTTTTACAACCAAACAACTTTTTTTACATTTTCCTACCAAACCCACTTTCCAACTATTTCTTTATCAATTATATTTCTCTAGTATTCAAAAAATTTCTCTTTAACCAAACATTCTCTTACTTCTTGACATGCAGCGTCTTTTTCGTAGACACCAGTAATCCTTTGATCCGCCTAAATCAAACCTATACCAATCTCATATTAATTACGATTGTACGTACGATCTCTTAAATTGATGATCATCAATAGCCAGCCTTTAATAATTTTCTTAATTAAGGCCAAGTTGACAATTTTTTTATGAACAAGCGTACGACTTAATAATTTTTTATTTTATAATTCTTTCATTCTAGAAGTCGTCTCTCTAGCACTGGTTCGCTTATTGTTCGTGTCAAAATAGTAGATATCGAGAGAAGGAAAATATCGGAGAGTTAAATATAAAAATATTTTCATAAACTCTAGTTTCAAATGTAAAAAGTTCTAGGGTGATATTTTTATTATGTTACATAAGAAAATTATTATATTCTACACTCTTGTTTTTCAAATAGGAGATAATATTTTTCTTATGTAATATAAGAAAGTATTACCTAAAGTTATATGGATAAAATAAGGGTAATACTTTTTTTGTGTTACATAAGAACAATATTATCTCCTACACTTATATTTTTCAAATGGGTCCTATAAGAATTTTTTTCTCTCACCTCCAACTTTTTTTTCTCTCCTATTTATTGTTTGGGTAGGAGATAATACTTTTCTTATGTAAAATAATAGAAGTATTACCCATAAAATAATGTTGGTCATGTTATTTATAGTATAGAAAGAATTTTGATCTAATTGGAGCTGGGTGAACTTTGATTTCAAGAAAACATATTCTCATATTATTGGAGACATCTTGTCTTGTGTCATAAAGATAAACATATGGGTCCACTTTTTATAAATAAATAAATAAAAACTAAAAGGACCCACATATTTTTCTCTATTACATGAGACAAGATCTCTCTAATAACATGAGATTAATAAGTCACTTGCTTTTAATTAATAAATATTTTATAACAAGTTCGATATTTTTTTTATTTATTTTTTTTAAATGAGTTTATGTGGCGATTACATAGAAAAGGACGGGGGACTCGGTCAAGCTAATTGTTAAGAAGAAATGAAGAAAACATTAGGAATTTATCCTTTCATGTTAAAATGTTATGTGAAATTTTTATATCTATTTTTTCTTTACCAATGATAATTGAACCCACTAATTTAATGTATGCGAAGAGAGAAATAGATAAAAATTTCTCATGACCAAGTCATGTAAAATTTTAACATGAGAGGATTCACTCCCAAAAACATTAGAGAAGCATTTTGTCACTCTGGATTCCTTACTAACCAATTGGCAGCTATCTCACTCCTTCTTTCCTATTTATTAAGAAAAAAACGTTTGTTATTTTAAAAGACATTACTTTGTGTCATTTTAAATGAAATGACATCGTTTTAGTATATATTTGATGATTTTTTACATTCTCTCTTTCCTAAAATTAGGAAAAGAGAAAAAATGGAGGAGAGGATGTACAAAATAATTTGCTATGCATCAAAACGATGTTGTTTTATTTAAAATAACATAAAAGGGTTCATTTTCTCTGTAGTGAATGCAGATAAGTTATTGCAGTGAGCCCAAAACAACGTCGTTTTGAGGCGAAAATCAAGGTATTTTTTTAATTATAATTTATTTCAATGTTATAATAGTCTTTATCATTATACTTTTTTTAATCTTTCAACCCAAAACTATAGGCGCAATTGGATCTGCGAAAGTATTTTGACCATTGCGGTTTGGGATGAGACGGATCATCATTGTTTTATGCTTACATCTTATTGCGCAGATCTATGCAACATCTCCTCGTCTTTGATTCATCTTCACGAACTGCTTTTCTCTGCACAAACAAACTACTTGAGTCTGGCTAGTGGTAGATCTTCCAGATTCTCTCTCACGGGAGAATAGAGCTAGTGTATAGGCACTCTCTTACTATCACGGAGATGACTTTACCTCAGCCTCTACAACCATCAAGTGAAGACCTGAGAGGCTGATGACTATAAGTGTACAATATATATGGATTCCAAGAAACTCAATCCCTAAGCTGAATGGGATCTAAGACAAAATTGTAAAATTACAAATTTCAAAGAACAAGTTATGCAACAATATGTCACCACCTATTCCATATGGCAAGTGCACCAGTTGTACAAGTGATAAAGTGAAAATGAGTAGGGTTGTCATTCCCACGAGGACTGATTACCAATCAATAACTTATCTATGTGATTAAAGTTTGATCGATCATTCGAATGATGGTAGAGTCCAAAAAAAAGTTGGATCGATCTTGTGAGTTTTGGAGAATATAATTTTGAATTAATAAAAATAGAATTTTAAAATAATATTTTTTTTAAAGATTAATAACAAAGAACAATATCCAAGAACAAAGAATGCAAAGAAACAGTTTTGACTTTAATTGATGACGAGCGTAGCTAAGGATTCGACTTCCTCAATGTTTTCCTAACTAGTCTAATCTTTCATGCAATTAACATTGAAGATCAATTATCGACAATTCTTTCTAAGTTAACTAAACTCACAATCCCTTGGTGATTTTAGTTCTTTACTTTAGTCCAAAGTCCTAACCCCTTAGACCCTTTTTCTAGAGCAAGCATTAAGGTCAAGAATCATAAGTCATAGAACTTGTAAGCCTATACCTAGAACATACAAACTCTAGCAATTAACCAAACGGAATCAAGAAAGCAATATTCCTATTGACATACAAGATTCTATTGTCCATTCAAGATTGGTCAGATCATAAACGAGACTAAAAATTTAAAACAGATTAATTGCATAATTGAAACATGAAAAATTATTACAAGAAGGATTAAGTAGCGTTCAGGAATCCATTGGTTCCATCTCACTCTAACTATATAAAAAGAACTAGCCTAACATATTCAAGAAAACTAAAGAAAGGGATGAAAAGAAACTAAAATTCGTAAAAGAAACATAAAACCCGATCTCCACTGTGAAGCTTTGACCGTTCTTCCACTCCTTAGGTCAGGAAAGGAGCTTTTCTGCCTCCTAAGTCATCTCTGGCCGCCTCCTAGCCTTTCTATATTGCGTCTAAGAATGAATAGAAAATCCTAAAGTGTGTCTTTCATAAGTGAATGTTCATGAGCTTTTAATTTGGACCAGGCTTGGAACTTATCTTCTTCTTGGTCTTTCTTGAGTCTTGGCTTGATTCTTGACTTCTTCAACTTCATTGATCCATCAAAACTTTAATTCAACACTTTAAATCTGAAAACAATATAATAGGAAATCATAATCATATCCAAACATTAAAACCCTTAATTCTTTAGCATTTAATTAATTTTCACCATGTTCTTGACCATATTTATCTTTATTTAGTATATCTATTATCCTAAAGACATAATGTCTATGACACTATTCAGCATATCTATGCAATATCTCCCCGTGTTTGATTCCTTTTCATGAACTGCTCTCCTTTGCACGAACAAACTCCTTGAGTCTGGCTAGTGGTAGATCTTCTAGACTATCTCCTAAGGGTGAATAGAGCTGGTGTGTAAGCACTCTCTTATTATCACACAGATGACCTTACCTCAGCCTCTGCAACCACCTAGTGAAGACCTGAGAGACTAATTGTTATAAGTGTAGAATATATATGGGTTCC